ATTGAGCTGCCGCCATCCTTAAGCACCAGCATGCCAGCCCTTAACCTGCAGGGGATTTCCTCTGTCAAAAATACCGAGAGTTCTCCAGATATGAACTCATTATCTGGACTTGCCACGCCGAAAACAAATGGACGCTCAAGCAGCACTGTTGAGAAAAAGAGCAAGTCTTTCAACAGTCCAGATGTGAAGAGAGAAGATTGCTACATGCCCCTTAGCAAAATCCTCACGGACATGAATAATGCACCTGCACCTAAGGCAACCCATTTTGGTAAAATAGGTACCTGCTACTGATCATAAATATCATTTGTTTGATAAACGAACAGTAGATTTCTATGCAGTTCTGAAGACATGTACTGCACATGTGGAATTTGTGGATGTAATTATTTGTATGACAACAAATGCAGATCAGAGTTTGTAAATATAGTAGTGTTGTGTGCGTGTACGGCATGCAGTGTTGATGCATTCAGAGTCACTTGTACAATATAAAATATACAGTGTAATTTTGCTTGACCAGGTTTTGCTTACAGAAAATGCTTTTTGGGGATGAGTGTATTTAAAAAAAAATATAGATGATTGTAACTTTTTTCAAATTTCATGTATTTTGCAGGTCAGTGGTTCTTTACGTTGATGTACATGTATGCGTGAGGAGATGTTTGGCTACTGTATTTAAGCTTGGCTAGTCATTAGGGATGATTAGTGCACTAGTAAAACAGCATTGACAGTGACCTTGTGGTTTGGAAGATCAAACTGAGAGTCTTGAGGATAAATCTACAGATTGTGGGTTCAAGCCCAGTCGTGTAAGAATGCAGTGCAAACCAGTATCGTAACTTGGGCCTTTAAAGTGGTACCTTTCATCATTGTTACCTATCTGCCCAGGATGAGTAATTGATGCATCAGGTGGAAGTGTTTAATGGACACTCTCCACCTCACAGATTAGAAGGGGAAATGCTCGTTTCCGATCACAAGTCACGAAGAGAACCCATCTGGTACTGCTGTTCCTTGTCCTACCACCTATGAGACTGTCTTGGCAAGGGAAGATCCAGAACCAATTAGGGGTAGGGGAGCAAACTTTCCTGAGGGGAGGGTTCAAAAGTTAGATTTTTTTTTTCATGTAACCGAGCTCTTTTGGCCTTTCTTTCCAAAATCACCTTTCAAAAAATGGGAGACTGCATGAAGTTGGGGCATGGGCTTTTTAAGGTCCCCCATCTGCTCTTTTGTCCTAATTGGAAGAAAACAAGAATCTTGGACAGAAAACTTTGTCTAGCCGAGCTTCCTTTGACATTGTTCCTCCATGTACATGTACAGTGTGTGTCCAAAAATGCACAAGCCTTGCACATGAGGACCTGATGCCTCGGCGTCAAATACAGAGAGTTTCTTGAAGGGACTTGGCAGAAAATAATGATGAGCAAACTTAAGTGCTGAGCACAAATTATCTGTCATTTCAATTTGGTGACCCATTTTTGCTTATTATTGATAAATATTTCTCTTTGCTAACCAAATGCTGGCACCTGTGCTCAGCAGTTGAATAAAATGTTAATTTGCATCATGTGGCCATATGTAGGTACAGGTATGTTCTTCCTAAGCAGCTCTCATCAGGGCTATAGGCCTATTTCAATCTGTCCAGTTTGAAAGGAAAAATTGGTCATGTGAACTGGTACTGTACATGTATGTACAGCCCTGCATGCTTATGACAAGGAGTATGATACTAAGCAGGTAGACTTGAATGGAAATGATGGACCATATTTGGGCCTGAACCCTTTGAGGAAATCAAATACAGTGCACACAACTTGTATGGCATTTAGATCAGGGGTACAGAGAATGAACTTGAAAAGGTACAGGTGCATGTACATTGTCAAGCTCAGTATACATGTACATGTATGTGTACATACTCAACGATTGAAGGGGAACCCTGCACCCACAGTATGCATGTATGTGTACATACTCAATGATGGAGGGGAACCCTGCACCTACAATGTACATGTACACCTGTGTGCAACTGTTCATTTTTTTTGTTTCTCAAAATTATTGTAGTAGTTGAACCAAATTACATAAATGGTAACAGCTCACAGACCAGTAACTACATGTACCTGAAACCACACCTCACAACTGGTTTATTTTCTGGTCCAATGTACCCTTTTCCATTCCACTGTTATTCTTTGGTAATTGTCCTTGTCTTTTAGCAAACTGATCTTGGTGATTGTACCATAAAACTCCTGAATGCATTCACCACGTTCTCGAGCAAAAGACAGCCTACTGGTTTTATAACTGAAACCAACAAACTTCAGTGCTGAAGTGTTATACAGTTAGTGTGTTGGAGGGGGAACCACAGTAATGTACATGTAGGCTAGCTGCACAAGGTCAAAGGATTTCTATAATCCATTGGGAGGGGGGTATATATTGCCCTCATGGGTCATAGATGCCAAACTTTACTGCCACACTTCCTGCTATTCATAGTGTTGTGTTTCCTCTCTTTCATCGCACTCCAAGTTACGCCCCAATTATGAAATTATGCTACCAGGTACACCCAGAAATTCAATCAGGTTATACACGGTCGCACCCTTGTGTTTTCACGCCATACATACTACAGATGGTCCTGGCCTGGCTGTTGGTTAATTGGTTCACTTTACCGTGATGAAATTGAGTTCATCTGGGTCGCACTTTAGAAAGACAACCGTGAGATGCATACTTATTCGTTTTGTATAGCACAACTGCTGTTTAACATATATACATGTACTTATATCTGGAAACTGAAACATTAACATTTCAAGTTGATTTCACATTATTAAACAGGGGAATTAATGATTGTACATACTGCTAAAATCTTGTTCACAAATCAGGTTTTTATAGCTGGTTTCAGGCATTGGTGTGTAAAAAAGCATGTGTTAACTATGCACAATTGTTTAATATGCATCCAGCAGTAAGTGTTAGAAATGCCTGCATTGGGTAAATAGTTATTCATTCAGTTAATGCTATATGCTGAACCAACACCTTTGGTGTCTCCTTCATCAATAGGTGGTATCCAAAAGATTATGTGTAAAACTTTGGGAGCCACTTGATCAATGATCTCGATTCCCAGTCATTAATTTGATCAGTTAGTACAAACAAGCTGCTGTCAAATGTGGTGAACTGGAACATGTTTCTCAGCCAGCATGTAAAGGCAGGTTAATGACAATTTGCTAAAACCATGGAAATCTAAGTCATGAAAAATGAAATCATTTCTTACACATTACAATCAGTTTATATAAAAGTGAGAAAAAATTGTTTGAATGTGCCAAATGGAAATAGAACGTTTTAAAGTTAGCCACACGCTGGAAGTGAAAACTCATTGATTCTCCATTTCAAACCACCTGTTCCCTTCTCCTTGGATCATCCCTAATAACTATGACCCTGAGTTCTCTTCTTTTAGCAGCAGAAATTTGTTCCTTCCTTGTGTGTAAAGGTAGAAAGTTTGTGGTGCGTTTACTGCCGCTCACATGTAAGGAATAGGACAGTGCCAGTTTTGCCTTAGACATTCTTCAGACTAAAGTTGACATTAAATGCCTGTGGCATCAGGAATTGGAATTGGAATTGTTGAAACAATGAACAGGTCTTATGTTGCTTTGCATTTTGTCGCCTTGATTATTTATCATCGGACTACATTGTAAATGGACAGTGGACTAAAACTTATGGACTAAAAAAGTTCCCATGACTGCCTGCTAAAATGCCATTGCAGTTTTTCTTTTATTCACAACCTGCCAAAAAGCCCCTTGGCCTTTTCAAACCAGCACTGGCATGTCTTCTCTTACGAGGACGCTCTCCAATTGACCTTTGCCAGATGCAGTCTGAAGGAAGCACAACATTTTTCCTAAATTTTTTTTATGTACTTGTACGTTGTCAGGTCATTTTGAATCTCCGGTGTTCGACAAGAATGTATATTCACTCATTACTCTTATCATGTAGAATTATGTGTTTGTCAAAAGCTAGGGCCAGCTGTTGGCCAAATGCATGACACATGATGTATTACCCAATAATCAACAAGACCATTCCAGGCAAGGAAGCATACACAGGCTTATGTGCTTAGTGATTGATTGCACAAGTTCATGCTGATTATATTCCATTTCAAAGTATCAAGTAAAGTGCCTCTGGTTGTCAGAGGTTTAAACAGGTTAGCCTACCAGTACCATTTTGTGGGTCTGAAAACGAGGACAGGTGGTTTGGTTAATTATCTCAGTTTTCTATCTGTCTCGGTTCAGATCAACTCAGTACTGCAGGAAACCTGAACACCGAGAACACAACTAATTGATAGATCTATTTTTTTATTAAGACTACGAGGGATAGTTGAGCTGTTGAAAATCCAAGAAATTCAGGGATATGTCTGGTGTTGAGACCAGCTCAAAAAGATTAAAAGCTCGAAGAAAGAAATTATATTGGGCAAATTGTATGGTGCCATTTCAGGAAAGAACTTTTTTAGATATTTGCTTTAATGTAAAAGTTAATAATAATCAGTAAGATTTCTGCCTCCATGTTGAGGTGGAATTAAGGGTGTGATTGACCACCCAAAGCTACCCTTCTATGGTAGTTTCCCATTTCTCTTTGTTACCATCCGCAGAAACATACTGCAAATTCCAACTTAATTGTTACAAAAGGAACAGGTGGGTGCTGCATGTTCGCTTGCCAAGTTTTGCTTACTTTACAATCTCCACCCAGCAACCTCCCCCAATTATCAAAACTTCCTCTTGACCCCTTGTCTGCTGGACCATTTGGCCGTTTCCGCTCAGCCACTAGACAGACACTTTTATTCCAAGCTTTTATTCAGACATGTGACCCATATGTACAGGGTGAATCAAAAATCATATATGCTTCAGGTGGACTTTGAAAATTTGCCCTGGTAAGAAGGAGAGTAATGTGAATGATGACAGCAGGTGCAGAATGTCTGATCCAAAGTTTACAGTGTTGGAAAAAAATACCAGAAGTGCTTATGATAAATTGTCAACAGCTATATATTTTTACTGTTTTTTCAGGCTGTTGTTAGGGCACTGGAGGATCTTGCTCAGAATGGAAAGATCAAGGAAAAAGTTTATGGGAAACAGAAGGTGTATGTGGCTGATCAGGTAATTATCCCATCTCAAAAACTACATCTACTCCTGTTTCATGTGAAGAATTGATGATTCAGTTATGCTTCTATCTGCAGCAATCACTACATTTGGGGGATTTCTCATTTGGTCCAATTGCTCTAAAACCATTACGCAACACTCGCTGAAAACCACATACTTTCTAATTTTCTTGTTGGATTTTGGCCAAACCTAACAAACTTCTATGTCATTTACACTAAACCTCAGAGGTTACGGCTACGGCTACAGAAAAGCCGGTATGAGACGGGAGGAAAAACGAGACTTACTTTATGGTATTTTTCTCCGCATACATGTACACGCAGAGCCAGTTTCCTGAAGTGAATGAATCAGAGTTGAAAACTATGGACAGCCAAATCAAGGAGCTCCAAGATAAACTCCAGAAGTCACAAAGTACTTGCAAGCAGCAGGAACAAGGTCAGTGAATGACCTTAATAATAAGCTTTAACGTCAAACGGGAGGGGGGGATGATGACAGTGGTGACAGTATTGATGGCATTGACGACGATGACGATGTTGGAACTTTCTGGACAAGGATACTAGTATAACAAGGGATCCAAAAGTGGGATGAAACTTTGATTTTACAATCGGGTCGGGGGAACACTCCTTAATCCCTGTAGATGGGACAGTCCTGCATCAGTGACAAGGAGTTTGTTAAACCTGTTACCATGACCGTGACGAGTATGATTGAGTATGACATTATGAACAGTGTTGGTGATTGGAGCATCACCTCGGTAAATGTGTGTGCCAATAATGGCAATGAAAGTGCTACCCAAAGCTCGGCCACCTAAGACTCTCTGCATGGCCTATTACTCAGACGGAACTACATCTTGCTTTCAGGATAATACCCAGGGGCCAATTTCATACAGTTGCTTAAGCATGAAATTTGCTTTAAGCGCAAAAAAAACACCTTACTTGATAAATCAGGTAACCAGCCAAAACTCCATGTTATGTAGATTGTTTTGGGATTGTAGTTAGCTGTTTTTTTGTTAGCATGACTATCAGATAGAGTTTGAGCTGGTAACCTTTGTTTATTAAGCAAAGTTTTTTAAAGCAAATTTTGTGCTTAAGTAGCT